AAGATCCAGGGGGTGTGGTTGGATCCACATCTAGGGGGTGGAGATTGGTAGGTTTAGGGGTGGAGATGGGTGGGTTTAGGGATCAGGAGGTGGAGACGGGTAGGTTTAGGTATATGTAAGGTGGGAGGAGTTGGATGTGGATCCAACCACACCCCCTGGATCTTGTGTTCTGCAGTGAGGGGCTACTGGCATATGTCCCAGGTGGAAGTCAGGTGTAGGCACTGGCCTGTTATTATTAAAGGGCTAGTTTATCCAAAAATGAAAATTCTCTCTTCATTTACTTACCCTCAAGTTGTTCCAAACTTGTATGAGTTTCTTTATTCTGTTGAAAACAAGAGAAGATATTTTGAATAATGTTGATGACGGTAGCCATTGACTTCCATAGTATTTTTTTCCACACTATGAATGTCAGTGGCTACTGTTAACTAACTCTACACAAATACATAATTGAAAATATACTTTATTTTATATATATATAAAAAAAAAAATCTTATGAATGAACAAAATAAATGAACATTCTGGTTTTTAACAAAATTGACAAAAAGTATTTTGCCTTAACCAATCAGTTGTGCTTTAATGTGCAGTATTGTTATTATGCTTTTTAGATTCTCCAAAAGACCCAAACAACATTATTGGATTCCTGCTTAATCATGGGTCACAACTGCAATCAAGAAAAATCAGCCACCAAATGTTTGAGAAAACAGTTAGGTGGGTCAGGAAAGGCCAGTGTTTTCCATTCTGAAGCAGTGGGGTCAGAGACAGTTCTGCAGGCCTGAGCACTCTTATGTCAAAGCTGAGGTACTCCTAAGCCATGCAGTGATGTCTGAGGATTTAGGCAGATTATGTCAGACCCAATTCCCATTGACTACCTCAACTAGTTTTTGCAGCCAGTGTTTATGATGAACACTCTGGATTAAGAGCGGGAAAGTGAGAGTATATACATATATAGCAATTAGAGAAAGCACATCATTTTGAGTGTGAGATTTATGACGCAGCATGCTCTTTTGATTCTAATAGATGACAATCTATACTACAAAAAACCTCAGCATGCTTTTATGCAAACCTCAATCAATACAAAATCACCACACAAAATAGACCACTAAAACCAATACAGATACTTTGCTGTCATCAAAAGGTTGCAGTCTCTCAACTGTTGCATCTCATTGCAGGTGGACATGTGAACCCCGCTGTTTCTCTGGCTATGGTCGTTTTGGGGAAACTCCCATTAAAGAAATTTCCTGTCTATGTGGCAGCCCAATTTCTAGGTGCTTTTGCAGGGTCTTGTGCTGTCTTCTGTCTGTACTATGGTAAGTTTTCAGGGCACTTCTATTTTTTGCCTCCTGTTATTGGCTCCTCTTATACCTAAGGCAGACTTCTTAAAAGTTTGTTAAAGGTATAGCTGTTTTAGCACTGGTCACATTGATTGGACTGAAAGAGCTCATTCTTATGAATAATGTGGTGAAAAGCTTAGAAACGAATGACACAGATGCTTACTTTCCAGTCAGTTACAACTTCAGTCACATTTCATGATGTTGGTTCAGCTTTGCTTTGTAAACCGGAAGAACAAAATGGCAAAACATGTCAATTTTTCCCTTAATAATATATATAATAAGTGATATTGTTTTCAGTGCAACCTGTACATATCTGTTAACATGAAAAAAAAAAGTGTTTTAGGTTTTCATGACCCTTGGCATGACATTAGTCATGCGCACAATATACACACACATACACAACTCAAACTAAACATAAACATTTGTGTCTGGTTTGGTTTGATCTTTGTTAGATTAAGATAGATATTAGATATAAAAGTAGATTGGTCAAGTTACTCAAAAAAAGTAATGTTACAGAGTAGCCTAGTTTTTATAGATTGCAATAGTATTTAAAAAAAAAAAAGTTTTATTTTATAATTTTTTTTAAATTATTTTACAATTACACTAAACAGTCATTAAATTACCACCTATGAATTCTTTTCTAAAATCGTTCTCTAGTTGAAAAGCTGATTCTCTTGTCCATAGGTGCCTTCGCAAATTTTGCTGATGGAAAACAAATTGTAGTTGGTGAAAACGCCACAGCAGGTATCTTTGCCTCATATCCACGTGAAAATCTCTCATTGTTAAATGGATTCATTGATCAGGTGAGTGAAACACAGTCATTTGTTTTTTAAAATATCACATAATCTCACTAGTAATTATACAATGAAATGAAACAGCACTCCAATGTTAAAGCATGTGCTTCGGCTTATAGACTGGTATTAAAAGGTGGGAACAAATACATATAAATCATAAGCATATAAATCTCAGGTGGAGAACTTTGAAAGCACATTTCCATCTCACGAATAAAAATAACTAGTTAGTTATAATTCTCACTATAGCAATAACTTTCTCTCATAATTTTATTTCTTACTACAAGCTTCCAAGAATATTTTGCTCATTAGTCTCTATTTACAGGTGATTGGCACAGGCGCCCTGGTCCTCTGTATTTTAGCCATTGTTGATAAGAAGAATATTGGGGCACCTAAAGGAATGGAGCCACTGGTTATTGGTCTGAGCATCCTGGCTATCGGAGTGTCCATGGCTCTGAACTGTGGCTATCCCATCAACCCTGCCAGAGACTTGGGACCTCGGCTCTTCACTGCTATGGCAGGATGGGGACTAGAGGTGTTCAGGTACAGAAAACCCCCTATGCATTAACATATTCTTCTTATTATTGTTTGTTCAGATTTTCTGCTACTTCCCTTATCTGTATTATTGCTTGTGCTGTAACAGGACATTTTTGGGTGTGTACACTAACACAATGCAGCTAGAAGTGTTACTATCTATCAATGTGGCAAAAGAGTCAACCAGCATGTGAGAAACAGGCACACCACCCACTAGCATACTTTTTGAAACTCTAAATAGACTCTAAGTGCAAAGGCCTATCACCATTCTTCTGACAGAGCAAATTAATTTTTTAACGCACTTGTGTGTCTCCTGCATATTAGAGCAATTTTAAAAATGTACGTGAGGCAGCCTGAATTCTCTTTGCATGAATATACACAACCAAAAACAGGATGCATTTTATTTGTATTAAAGAAAAAAAAACCCGCATCTTTTACTATAACTCAAATTTTCAAGGTAATTTTTAAAGAGAGAGAAATTTTGTTGCTGCTCTCAACAGCAAGAGGAGTCAGATTTTGTGCACAGTTCTACGCCGAAAGGATCAAATTAAGTCTGATAAAGTATTGAATAAAATAACTGCCTAATATATGCAATAGAATACGGCTGTGTTTACGATCACACATTTTAGCAGTGAAAACCCTTCAAAACACTGTGGCATATTCCGGTTTTGCATTTCTGTTCATATGCTTTACTGCTCATATGTATTACATGGCTCTCTAAGATACTTGGTCATTCAGCAGTCAAATATTTTTGTATAATTTGTTATTCAGCTACAGACACAGAATGACGTCCAGTAAGAGCTAATCATATATCAGTAGTCTACTAGGCCTAGGTGAGGAAATGCTTGATCTGTCTGCTTAATTTGTCTTCCAACTTGAAAACAAATTAGGGGTTACCTGAGGGTAAATGGCTCTGGTGTTATAATTGCAACAAACATTATAAACAGTGAGCATGAAGATTACTTAAGTTCAGTTCAGCAAAGCGTCTGCATGAGGTGGCAATGCATTTGTTTACAGTTACCTTTGCCAACCTGTTTGTAGAGAAGGTTCAAGGACAGAGAGCACTTGTACTCTCAGTAGCCTATAAAAGGATCAAGGGATTGAGGGAGGGAACGAGTGCTACAGACGGGGAGCACTGGAGTGACACACTAAGCACAGATTACAATAATGAAAGCATTAGTGTCTATACAGCTAGACACCAACACTGTTGACATCGTCCACCAGTCTGACAGCTGAACAACTCAGGATACGCCTGTAATGTCCTGAATTAGATTGAGAATACCTTTTAAATTCTAATTCAGCTCTAAATTTGAATCGAGGTCGTAAAGAAGGCAATTGTAATGGACAATTGATGTAGAAATAAAATAAAATAAAATTCAAAGAAATGCATGCTTTCGATTAATATTTAATCTCAAAATTGTTAGATATAAATTCTTTATATATAACTTCAGATATAAATTCTCAAAATGCAAAATTCCACCTATAAAAATGTGCATTTATTTAAATATATTTGGACAATTTGTGCAATATTTCGTCACTTGAGTTAAAACACTTAAAGATGTCTGAATGTCATTGTATGAAATTGAAAATATAAAAAAGAGTGGCATCTGCATCTTTGTAAAGAATTAATAAATTGACCAAGAGTGACAGTAAGCGCATTTATAATGTTACAAAAGATTTCTATTTCCAATCAGTGCTGTTCTTTTGAACTTTCTATTCATCAAAGAATTCTAAAAATGTATCACATTTGCACAAAAATATTGAGCAACACAACTGTTGCATTAAATAATAATAAGAAATATTTGTTGAGCACCAAATCAGCATATTAGAATGATTCTGAAGGATCATGTGACACTGAAGACTGAAGTAATGGCTGCTAAAAATCCAGCTTTGTCATCACATGAACATAAAAACCTTACTATTTTTACTGCATTTATGTTCAAATAAATGCAGCCTTGGTGAGGATAAGAGTGGTTAAAAAACAGACCCATATATATATGGTAACATATACAGCGGGTAAAATAAATAAATAAAATAAATAAAAAATATATTTCTAAAGGTGCTGTTGACATGAAATTTTCACCAGATGTACAGCCCAGGTAATGCATACATACGAAGAAAACAATACAAATAAGTTCAGAAATTAAGTTCTATGTAATAAAATGGAATGACCCAGTGATTTTGGCCCATTCTTCCACACAGTCTTCAAATCTTGAAGGTTCCATGGGCCTCTTCTATGAACTCTGATCTTTAGTTCTTTCCATAGATTTTCTATTGGATTCAAGTCATGTGATTGGCTGGGCCATTCTAGCAGCTTTACTTTCTTGTTCTGAAACCAATTGAGAGTTTCCTTGGCTGTATTTGGGATCATTGTCTTGCTGAAATGTCCACCCTTGTTTCATATTCATCATCCTTGTTCCCTCGATTTATAAATTGTGAGCACGATTTACTAATTTGTTCCCTCGATTTGCTAAATCGAGCACACGATTTATAAATCGAGAGAACGAATTAGTAAATTGTGCGCACAATTTAGCAAATCGAGGGAATGAATTAGCAAATTGAGGGAACAAAATAGTAATCGTGTGCACATTTTGGTACATCGAGGTAACAAATTAGTAAATCGTGCACACGATTTATTTATTTTTTCTTGCATGTCCTTGGCTCTTGGTCAACTCTTCTGATAATTCTTTTCACTCCTCTGTCAGAAATCTTGCGAGGAGCACCTGGTCGTGGCCGGTTTATGGTGAAATGATTTTCTTTCCACTTCTGGATTATGGCCCCAACAGTGCTCACTTGAACATTCAGAAGTATAGAAATCCTTCTGTAACCAATGCCATCAGTTTGTTTTGCAACAATAAAGTTGCGAAGGTCTTGAGAAAGCTCTTTGCTTTTACCCATCATGAAATGTTTCTTGTGTGACACGTTGGTCATGAGACACTTTTTTATAGGCCATCATTTGGGACTGAACCAACTAATATTAATTTCCACTGACAAGGGCCAGGATTGCTTTCTAATTACTGATAGATTTCAGCTGGTGTCTTGGCTTTCCATGCCTTTTTGCACCTCCTTTTCTTCATGTGTTCAATACTTTTTCCCCGTGTCATTCTACTTTATTACACAGAACTTAATTTCTGAGCTTATTTGTTTTGCTTTCTTTGTATGTATGGATTACTTGGATTGTTACCAACGTCTGGTGAAAATTTAATGTCAACAGCACCTTTAGAAATATATTTACTGAGAAAAATGGTGATTTGTTCAATACTTATTTTACCCACTGTATATATGCACACTATTGTTGAAAACTTTGGGTCCGTTTTATGTATCTACATATATATATGCATACACAAAACAACTTGAAAGTGATCTGTTCTTGTCCATTTGATTGTAATCAACAACAAATTGTATGAAACTTGTGTGACTGTGTTGAACTTTCTTTGAATTTCAGTAAATTCTTCTTCCTGTCATTCGAGTTCAAACTACTCACCATATGTGTGTGGCCAGTTCCATTATAATTCAAATTTAATTTGAAAATACATTCAGAATTTTGCCCAGTCCTGATTTGATTCTAATCTGTCTTCAGGGCTGGAAATGGCTGGTGGTGGGTTCCAGTGGTCGGACCGATGGTGGGCGGTGTGGCCGGGGCAGTGATCTACTTCCTGATGATTGAGCTGCATCACCCTGAGCTTGAGAAAAACCTTGAAGATGACAACAGCATCAAAGATAAATATGAATTGAACACCGTAAACTAGAAAGAGAGGGAAAGTATGGTATCTTTTCCTTCACCATAGACCTCAAACAAGAAGCACTGTTATTTCTACACACTCTCCTTCTCGGTCTTTTCCTCTAGATCTCTTTTCTGAGTCTTTTGCCAAGTCAGTTCATGAAACCAAGCAGCTATGAAAGACAGCAAGTGTTAATTATCTATAATTCTAGCTTTTTCAAGTTCTTAACAAGTTTAACTTTTTCAAAGATCACCATTCATTCTATCTATTCTATAGAGCGATCAACAGCAGAAACAGTATTTAATGTAAAGCATCCACAGTTTTACCATCAACACCACTGCCAGTAAAAGATCACAGGTGCTAACAGATCCTCCATATTAACAACTCTGGAATGTATATAGAGATAATCATAATTTTCAACTGGTTTCTCAGGTTTCCTTTTTTGTTTCTTAAGATATAGTCAATGCAGGTTGTCTAGCCTCAGCCAGAGAGAGTTAAACCACTCCAGCATTGCACCTATATTTTTCCTTCATTCCTTTGTCTAATCCTACTACTTCTTCTTATCGTGTTAACTTTCACTGACATCTGACAACCCTATAGCTTGCCATAAGAAGATGTTCTTCTCTCACTAAAATGAAGGAAAAGGGTACTTTACTGTCCACTCGATTTAATCAAAGATGAACAGGCTAAATAGATGAGCTACTAACTGCATGCATAACTGCTGATAAGGTAACTCGCATGAGGTAATGGGATGAACATTGCAATGCATGCAAAAATGAATTTGCAACGAACTATTACATGAAAGCTTAACAAGAAATAAATGTGTATTTATGCTACAATGTGTCAAAATGTTCAAGAAAATAATTGCATCACAACTTATAGTAACAGTATTGCGTATAACATCACATTTCAGACTTAGCAAAGCTTAATGTGATGTTTGTTAGATATTTCGTAACATTGTTTAATATGTGTTTTTTTCCTCTTTTTAAGAACATTATTATAGTAATTTATTTATTGGCACTTAAATGAACTAATAGCAGTTGTTTGTACAATTCAAAGATATTTCAAAATGTTTGTCTTTTTAGTCCGTTATTTCAGATTCAGATTTTTTTACTTATTGTCTCATAAATGAAACTTTTTGAGATTAAATTACTGCATTCAAAATGTTGAAGAAAGTATTGTCATTCTGCTAATGTAGACCTAATATAATAAAATAAATATACTGTTATACATATCTCATGTCTGTTTTCCTGTGAATGAGGATTGAGACCAGAGCAGCCCCTATTTCCTTGATATATCTGCATTCTGCAGTACTGCATCACAGTCAGTTTAGTTCTGCCCTGAGATACTACACATCTAATGTACTTTCTTAGATAATGGAAACGACCTTTGCAAACCTGTACACATATTCAATTTGTGAATTAATTTGCTTAGAGAAACATTAATTCACCTCAACATATTCAGCCAAACCAGAAACATTTCACCACGCTCCACTTGTTCCAAACCTGTATGAGGTTCTTTCTTCTGTTGAGCACAAAAGGAGATATGTGACATGAAGAATTAGTGCTCCGCATTTATCCCATCCAAAGTGCACACACACAGCAGTGAACACACACACACACCGTGAGCAGCCATTTTTTGCTGCGGCACCCAGGGGTTCAGTTGGGGGTTCGGTGCCTTGCTCAAGGGCACCTCAGTCATGGTATTGAAGGTGGAAGAGAGCGCTGTACATTCACTCCCCCCACCTACAATACCTGCTGGTACGAGACTCGAACCCACAACCTTGTGTTACAAGTCCGACTCTCTAACCATTAGGCCACGACTTCCCCCACATTTTGATTGTTTACCAACACTCTTCAAAACATCTTCTTTTGTGCTCAACAGAAGAAAGAAACTCATACAAAGGAAATTATGACAGAATTTTCATTTTTGGGTGAACTATCCCTAGGGAGAGATAAAATAAACAGTTCTGACTGCACTTATCTGCACAACTATATCTGACCTGATTTAATCATTATCACTGTCTGACCATCAGCATCAGCTCACTGAGTTTATGCATACATACGCCCTCCGTTTCTGCTAACTAGACTGTAGTATGTTCTTCAGCCAACCATTCTTTGAAACAGCACAACTGCAACATGCTGCATGGGTTAAATATATAAAGTTGATTAGAATTTAGAAAATTATCAACAGCATTATCTTTAAGAAGAATTAAGATTTACATTTTAATGTGGGAATCAGGGAATCAGAAACATTTTTAACAGAAATGAAAAGAGAAATAGAATTAAAATCTTTAATGACATCTATCAAGGCTGAAATGACAAGAGCTTACACACACACACAGATATTTCCATGTTTCATGGGGATATTCCATAGATGTAATGATTTTTAGACTGTACAAACTATATTTTCAATCTCCTTTGCCTAACCCTACCCCTCGCACAAAACTTTCTGCCTTTTTAGATTTAAAAAAAAAACTTAATTCTGTATGATTTATAAGCGGTTTAAAAAATGTCCCCACAAGATGGTATGGTATTACTATACTTGTGGTGATTTGGTCCCTATAATGTAGAGAACACCACAATACCCATAATGCAGGACCATACACAAACACAGGTGCAACTCTCTGTCCTGTTAACTTTTGTAAACAGGCTTTTACTTACTATCTATCTATCTATCGACAGGACATGGACACATACTAACTGTCAGCATCTGATCTAGAACTAGTTAATGAGCTAAATAATAAAAATAAACCGGGTCTAACTTCAAGAAGTAGAAAAGACCATGTAGTGAGTTAAACCATCATTTGACATCTCTGAATGGCATTTGGAGACATGGTATTTGAGTAGTAATGTTATCAGTAATGAGTCAGCGTGTACCTTTCTGACAACATTTTTCACCAATCGTGGCATAGATTCTTATGTAACACACCATGCAGCCAATCAGGGCCATCATTTGGCCGCAAAATGACAAAAGGTTTCAAAGCTCACCCAGAGGATTGAACTGCCTGAACCCTCCCCTAACAAACATCCCATCTGGGCCAGCTCCCTCCCCTCAGACAGTTTCAAAAATTGTTCAGTAATCACCTGCCTCACAGTGGCCTCTTCTCTTGCCCGAGAAAAAGAGAGGGAGGAAATATTTGGATTATCTGTGTGGACTCCTGAAGTGGCCTGAACATGAAGACTCTTATTAAAATAGTGTCCTGCTGTCTGATCATCTTTCAGCTGACTGATGGAAGGAAATTTCGGGGTAACAGAGCAGGTGAGGGTGAATTATGCTTAACTTTTAAAATTCTGTCATCATTTTCTCACCCCCATGTATTTTTTCCTTTATTTGACTTTTGCAGAACACAAAATAATATATCTATTTATTTAGTTTTTGCCCACTGTCAACTGGATGCAATGCTGTTTTGGACCACACTGACTTGCATTGCATGGACAAAAACAGTTGAAACATTCTTCAGTATATCTTCTTTTGTGTTCAGAAGAAATCATACAGGGTTGGGACAACATGTGGATGAGTAAACGACCGAATATTTGGGTGATCTGTATGTTTAAAATTATCTTCTGAGCAACAGTGAAGCACATGCTTCTTTTCCCCTTATTCACTAAGGTATTGTAGCATGCACTATGTTGTGACAGAATGTGGTTCACAATTAAGCTTGGTGATTGCAGGAAAAAAAATCTAAATGGAAACAACAAAAACACACAAAAAAACAGAATAGTATGTGTAGGTGAACAAGAGGTGCTACTGATGCTCCTTGGTAAAGTAAAATATTAAGGAAGATATGGATGTGCAATAACAGTCAGCATTAATTGTGCTTTGTCTCATTTAATCAATGCTGATGTAAATTGCAAAAACTTGTATTAAAATCCATAAAATCACAGAGAAATAATATCCTAGACTGTGTTTGCAAATAAAAGCTGAAAATATTGAAAGAGAACTAAATATCTTCATTCACACACTGGCCTTGCTAAACGTACATTTTTCACATGCAAAAACTACATCACAGAAGAATATGCTGAATCGGAATGTGAGGTTTATCATAATCATTTATCTCAGATTTAAAAAATCCAGACACTTCAAAGGGAAATTTGTTTTGTATTAACTCTAAATGATGCATTCAGATTTTTTGACCTTTCATAGAATGCTAACAACTAATTGCTAACCTGGCAGAGAGATCAATTCCTCTGTCAATGTAAGCAGAGACAGTTAGAGAACTGCATGTCCCATTAAAATAAACATTTGCATAGGAAAACATTAAAACGGGTTCAAATGGTAGGAATCTCAGACAGCTCTAATGTTTTTACAGGACATGCAACAAAAATTGGTAAACCCATGGGTACAATGAATGGTTAATGAAACATTTTATATTACATATGTTGATGCAACATAAATGTTTAATGCATATGAGAAATGCAACATGTGTCATATTCTACTCTCCACATGCTCATTTAATGGGCAAGAGTGATGGGTAAACACATTTTATATTGACTCAAGCTCAAACCATCAAGCTCAAAGTTCCCCCGGACCTATATGGGATCTAAACATACTCCTATCTTATTTTCATTTGTAACTTCATTTCAATGCAAAAGTTTGCATTGCTGCTTATGGGAATATATATCAATATTCCAGGACTATTGTACAGCCTAAAAAAAAAAAAGAACTGTCTGTGAACCTCAGTTTATGTATGACCATACTAACAGACACTGAGCCTGGAGAGAGGATGAAGATGCCCTACGAACCTAAATCAGTCTTCAGGCTTTACACTGACGGCATAGATGATACATGCACAGTGGAGCTCTTCAAGCCTCACACTCTGGACGCTTGTGGTTTCAATAGCAGCCATCCTCTGGCTATCATCATTCATGGCTGGTCGGTATGTTGAGTTCATTGATTTAATAGAAAAACAGATCAATAGTTCAAATGTACAAAAGGTCATGACCTTGGCATGGATTGCAAACAGCTATGCAGAGTTATTTCTAATCTGATAAAGGCGAAAGTGACTTACAAACAAAACCGGAGGGATGTGGTCTATGCTGCAGCAGATGCATCTGAAAAAATAAATAAATAAATAAAATAAATTAATATAATCCTCCTCGCTGTGCTGTAGGTGGACGGAATGATGGAGAACTGGATTTCCAGGTTGGCATCAGCACTAAAAAGCTCAGAAGGAAGCATCAATGTGGTGATTGCAGATTGGCTGACTCTGGCACACCATCACTACCCTATAGCTGTTCAGAACACACGCGTTGTGGGGCAGGACATTGCCCACCTGCTGAGGTGGCTAGAGGTGAGGGTTGGTTTGGGAATACAAATCTCTTTACAGTTATGGATGCAGAATTTATTTCCCAAGGGAATAATGCTACCATCCTTACATCTTACATGGAACTGACTCAGAATGTTAATAGATCATAAGCAGATATTTTGTACATTTCCTACCGTAAATATATCAAAATTTAATTTTTGATTAGTAATATGCATTGCTAAGGACATCATTTGGACAACTTTAAAATCGATTTTCTC